GCATCTTTAAGCCCCTCATTTAATCCCTCCGCAAAAACACTGCCCAGAGCGGCCTCGCCCCAAGCCACATCAGCTGCCAGAATGCGGAAGTCAACTGCGGCCGCGCTTTGGGAACCCTGACGAAGGGCGAGCAGCCTCTTGGCCGCATTACCCGCGTGGTCGGGATGGTCAAAAACCGTGCGCAACTCTGCTTGGAACTGGTCAGAGCTAAGAAACCCGGACCGAGCCAGCCGGGCTTCTGCCCAGGCCAAGGCCTTACCTCGTAAGAGGTTGAAAATGTAGGCACGTTTGGCGATATCGGTTGTAAACGAGCGTTGCTCCAGAACCATAGCGCACTGGACCAAAAAGCCACGACACGTGTTCAGTTCTCCCGAGAATGGTTCAGGGTCTGGAATGCGGTTCTCCCGAGGGGTGCCTGGGCTTGTCTCCGAAGTTGGTCTACACAGGTGTTTCGTAAGCTTATAGACCTGCTGAGTGGTGACGTGGGTTTGTTCTAAGGCGATACGCTGACATTGTTCCAAGTGTTCGATGCGGGCCTGAAGCCCTCTAACCTCGCTAACCGGGTGACCTGTGTCCGAGCCCGCTGAGTCCATATTTGGCCAGATGATACTGTTACGGCAAGCTGCACACCAAAAGAGCGACTGGACTCAGGAATAGGCAGGAATCAAACTCAGGTCAGAGAAAGATATTTATTTGACAAAGTATGGAAAGGAAAGGAGGTGGCGAGGATCAGACGCGGAGCTGCTGGCGTGGGTCTCGGGCGTTTGGGGCCGCTGAAATGACTGGACCACTGGAGGAGCCGCCCGGGGTCGGAGGAGAGGTTTTGGCACTGCGTATAGAGCAGAGAAGGAGATTAGGAGAGGGGACAACAGGCGGATGAGGGTGTGATGAAGTAGAGCACAACACAGGTGACCTGCGTATAGGGGAATGCTGGCTCCGGGCTGGAGAGCGTGCTTGGAACCCAGCGCCGAGGTATGCAGACAGGAACAAGCGCCCACGCTTCACTGACCCAGGCACTTGATATGGACCCCAATCAACAATCGTCAAAGAAAAAACATAAGACACTCCTCAGTAGACAGTTCAAAATAACAGAAGATACTCCTCGGTAATTAGTTCAGAATAAACATAAGATCTCCCCAGTAGTCAGTTCCAAAAATAACAGAAGATACTCCTTGGTAATTAGTTCAGAAAAAAAACTTAAACAAGACAGAGAAACTCACTCAGGTCGACACAGTGGATAACATCAATATACCAGAGTAGGACGATCTTAGTAGACATCAGGATCCAGTACGTGAAACACGCGAAGTCGCCGGCAGAAGACTGAGAGATCAACTGGCGACGAGGATACACTAGCGCTGTGTTTAAGTATGGTTCAGCTAATTGAGCGCAGGTGTGCCTTGTCGCCGGTAGCGTGCTCCTACGTGAGCAGGGGTGGAGTCGCTGATAGCCCCGGTATCAGCTGCCGAGGTGCCGGGGACGGCCTGATCCGTGGACATAACATGAGCACAGCTGAAGTGCATGACACAGTGCAGGACAGGAAGTTCCCTACAAAATAAGGGCTCTTAACGGGAAGCCAGGAGCAGATTATGACAAACTGTGCTGGGGAGGAAAGGGAGGGGGGCAATGCAGGTTTGGGCCATTTAAGATCCCAGTAATATATTTCCATGCTTACATGGACTCTGTTCAGATGATTAAATGGATTTATCAGTTTTCATCTCTCTGTGATGAAATTTTTGTTTTGGGCTACAGTTAGTTTTAGCATATTTGGATTAACTGTGGGGGATATGAGTTTTTTTCGCCATGCCCATATGCAACCTGTGTGTGAGGTCTGGGGTGGGGATGGCGTTAGAAGTGTTTGGGGATGCAAGGGGGATGTTGGGAGCTCATCTTGTCCTGGCCATGAGCAAGAGATGTGGTGGACCTGCCTCCAAGGGCGGTAGTGTGGTTTCTATCACCCTCTGGGCTGTATTCACCACCCACTTTAGACCCTTCCAGTCCTGTCCTGTACAGTTGCCACACCATGCTCTACAGCAGCATATTAGGAAATCAGTGGCTGGATATGGCCCCCTCATTTTATTGCTGTTGTGTAATTGGTTGCCACTTCATAGGTAAAAAAAAAAAAACGTGAAACTGATCCAGGTCAGCCGCAAGTGTTTATTTTAGAGTTACAAAAACAGAACTGTGTTATAGCCAAGACACTGGCTAAAATGTTATTTTTACATTTTAAGCCTCAGTTTAAAAACATCACAAAAGGATTGTACTAAACAATAATTCAAACTCAGGCATTTGATAAATGGAATTAGATCTGTACAAACCAATAAAAATATTGTCATTGTAATGATATTAACCACTGATTTGTAAATATGATTGTATATTTTCAGAATTCAACTGATAACAAAGGCTGCTGGTAGTGATTTCCTGCATTATACATTTTTCTCTTTGCATATTTGCTCAATTCCCACAAATAACACAGCAGTCCTACTCACTGACATTACAGATTGATACTCAAGTGGTCAACATATGGCCACATACCTGTCATAACCCATTAAAGCCAAAACCAAATAGTGAACCACTGTGTAAGAATAAATGACATAGATTTGCAAAAGGCATCCATCATATGATATTACATGAACATCAGACAGAAGAGCAAAAGCGAATTTAGGGTAAAAACCATCAGAATGACCCAGTAACTTAATAAAATGAGAGAGAAAAGTGTCATTCTGTAGTTGATTGTTGCATTGAAACCAGACAGTGAAAATACTACTATACTAGAGTAATGCTCATTTTGTAACAATTCTCCAAAACAAAACTGTCAAACTGATAATGTGCAATGTATTGAAGCCATTAAAATGTCTGTATTAGTCCTTTTACATGATTGTTGTACCCAGCTCAGCTGTGATTTTAGTTGCTAGAGACGACTGTTCCTATAGTATATATGCAGGTGTCTGAGAGTTGAAGTCCTGACGCCATGTCTGGACTAGCCTCTGCTGTACTTCTGTAACTCAGTACAGTATGTTGTTCTTTCATTTGTTTATATCAAAAAAAAAAAATTGGGCACAGCGCCTGTCTAAACAGGTGGAACTGAGGGAGTGTGTTTGGAGAACCATTAGGGCTGAAGATTTTGGGGGGGGCAACTGGCCCTTCCCAATCTGCCAACCACACTTGGCTCAGCCAACTGGATCCTGATGTCACCTTGAGCCACTGAAAGGCATTGGGCTGACTCAGTTGGTGGGGCTGTTGGGACATGCTGTCCACAGCTTTGGCAGGGCATCCCTGAAATCTCTTGAGCACAGCGACAAGCATCGTGCGCCCTTGTTTTCACCTTGCCCAAACTTGGCTCCATGCACTTTGGGGCAGCTGTGGCTTAGGAGTGCCATCTGACGCCGGGTATGCCAGACCCACCCAGCAAATTTTTTGATTCACAACAATGTACGCTCTATGAAAGAAAAGAAAAAAGAAAAGGTTTTAGGCAAGCTACCAAAAAGGACAAACTGCAAGCAAAGAAAACGTGTTAAATTATACATTCTTTTATTTGAAATGAAATAGTTCGAATTTCAATCAGTTTATATTTTAAATCCCAAATCTTTTTTGGTTGCTAAGAAATTTATTTTGAATGCAGTTTCCCAGGTTTTTGCTCTCAAATGTTTTCTTTGACTGCAGAGTAAACAAGCAACATAACCTCCATAGTGCTAATGCCAACAAGGTGGTTGACTAATGCTATCTAGAGTGGCTATCACATCTATGGTCGACTATACACAATTAAATGTGCCGAAGAATGGGGGAGCATTCATATGGAAGCTCAGCATATGAGTTAAATGAAGTTTAACCATAATATGCTGCCAAAAAGGGGGGTATCAGGCCACACCATCATAAATCTTCAGAGCCTCACAATAAGCAATACCATTTTCCAGACCTAACCTACCCTTAAAACAAACTGTCCCTGAATCCTATCTTGCTGTTACATTGTAAGCCTTAATGAAAGAACATTGGAAAAGGAATTTACTAAAGACATTAATTCAGCCTTGGATTCATTTGATGAATGCTGCGAGATTTATATAAACCAATAAAACATTGTCAGCGAAAGTTATTAACCACTGTAGTGATTGTATACACTGCCAGTCAAATGTTTGGACCCGCTTTCCAATTAAATTGAATGGGAATGTGTCCAAATATTTGACTGGTAGTGTTTTGTCAAAATATGTCAGTTTTTTTGTGGTACTTTCCCTGCTTTATATGTTTCTTTTTAAGTTTGATTATTCCCACAACAAAGAACAGCTTACTGAGGACACCTACTGACCTGTCTTTGGAAAAAATGAGCATAATTTTGGTTTCGGCATATAAGAATGCAATTTTTTGCATTTATTTTAAAAACTGTCTCTGTGCCATGTTTAATAATGATAACCAATAAAATCAAATGCTATGGTCTCTAATTGGTGCACCACTACTGAACACTTACTGTTATTGAAATTAGCATAGGATGTAAGGTTAAAACGGTGAGACTATGCTTTATTTCACAACATTCATCATGTTGTATTGTCAATAAGCAAAGACAGACGGGCTCCTGAGTTTAGTTCTAGCATAATGATGTTCCTTATTGCCTTAGTGATGATTTCTTACTATTCATTTATACCTTTAATATTTTGATAGATGTTTGTCACTTAATTAAATCATAAATGGAGATCAATTAACAGACATGTAGGAACAGGACTGCATCTCACCTGAAACGTCCTATTTGGATGTGATGGTGAGTTCAACAACCAGTTATACAAACAAACATAACCATTACTAAAACAGTAATGATAAATCCAACAATATTGCATTTAATGAGCTGATGAAAAGTGAAAACAAGTAAAATGCAATTCTAACATTAACATTACAACAGCCTGACAGAGGAGGTACAACAGGACAATCAATCATTAATTTTGCCAAATGCAATAGTTGCATATATCAAATCTTCAGTAAACACGTTACACAAACAGATGTACATAGGTTCATGGAGGTTTTCATCCAGGATAATGGTTAAAATGAGAGTCACATTTACAACCAGAATGACACAGTAACTTAATAAAGTGAGAGAGAAAAGTGTGACTCTGTAGTTGACTGTTGCATTGAAGCCAGACAGTGAAAATACTACTATACTAGATGTATTACTCATTTTAAAATAATCCTCCAAAAATAGCTGTCAAACTCATAAACAATATTTAAAATACCAGGATGCAATGTATTGAAATATTCATTGTTTGTGAGTGTGTGTTTATTTCCTGTGTCCTGCTTTCAGCTGAGCTGACTGTACAGAAGACTGTCTCTCCTTAAATGCAGCTGTGTATTAAAGAGTTTTATTCCTGACGTCATGTCCCACGCTGCAGGTGAGGGTAAGACCAGCTGTGTCAGGGATGTGTGTAACATGCTGGACTCAAATGCAGAGCAAAGCTTATGGACTGATGAAAGTTCAGTTTTACTGGCAATATGAAATGGGGACAAGGCCAATCTAGAGCCCAAAGTAGTAAAAAGGCTAAATTGCAGTTCCTCAGGTTTTGTGTGAAAAGGCACTGAACAACTATGGGTTTAGCCCAGCTCAGATGTGATCTTGGATTAGGGCAGTTAGGTCAAGACAGACCAGCATCAAGGAGCCTCAGAAAGTGGTCAGAAGGATTTCAGGC